TTGTACGAGAGTTCGACTGTGAATCCAGGATAAGTCTATATCATTCTAGTTGTACGAGAGTTCGACTGTGAATCCAGGATAAGTCTATACTCATTCTTGTTGTACGAGAGTTCGACTGTGAATCCAGGATAAGTCTATATCATTCTAGTTGTACGAGAGTTCGACTGTGAATCCAGGATAAGTCTATATCATTCTAGTTGTACGAGAGTTCGACTGTGAATCCAGGATAAGTCTATATCATTCTAGTTGTACGAGAGTTCGACTGTGAATCCAGGATAAGTCTGTACAATAAAATTTGGTACTTATTCATGTGTTAGTTTCTCAAGCAGTAGCTAAAAACAGGCAGTGATTTCGGGTCATTCCACATCATTCACACAATCCAAAAGGGAACGTGGCAAATACGTGTAAATCGAGATTTTAACGAAGTATTAATCTCTGTAATTTGTTATAATTAAATAAACACGACCGACAAAGCGTATTTTCCGAAACTTATATATTTATTGGAATATAGAAATATGTATGTGTGGTGTATCCCCAGGTTACTTTGAACTATTTTATTGTGTTAAGTATGTCCACGTTGTTAATGTATGTTTTTAATACTAGGTGCTACAACTGTGGGGAGTTAGCCAATCATGTTGCAGCGAAATGCATTCTTGGACCTCAACCTAAGAAATGTCACCACTGCAAGTCTGAGGAGCATCTAATTGCCGATTGCCCCTTTCGTGATGAATTGCGGAAACTTAAACCCGAGAGGCAAGAGCCGCCAGAATAGGCGTGTGGAATACAAACATTTTATCGGTAAAAGCTCCTGTTACCGAGAATAATAAGACGTTGGACCAAGGTCAGAAGTACAGAGTTGCTAGTGGTAGTGTCATGGCGTTATTTAGGTCAATGTTTATAGAGACAACTTGCCACAGGAAAAAAGTGACCCTCTCTTCAGTTTGGTGTGTAGTTCCTAATACCCTTTTGGGGTTGAGACCTATTAACCTCTCCCCTAGTCCAGTTCAGTCCGCCCAGCCGCCCCTTTGCTGACCATGTGTCAGTCTAACATCACAACTTTTGGTCCACAACCCTAAAATAAAACCGCCTTCATCGGAGACTGTAGGGACAATCTATCTCTGTGACAACTGTCGTTATGTGATATTTAATATTGTTTGAATATACTACAGAGATATAAGACAATATCTGCAGAGAAACACTGGTCTAACAGTACGCCAGCTTTTAATACAAACACTGTCATCTAGGGTTAACACAGTGTGAACATTTTTCTTATTATCATGACCTTTTATACAAGAGTCATGTCTGCTTTTAAATTATATTTTACTACACGTGAATGTTGTTTTCATAGGAGATTAATGTTTTGTGATAGCTTTTCTTACTTTAGTGAAAATGAGTAATAAGTTCAATGGTGAAAATCTCATTTTCGTTATGTCTGATATTCGGGAAACCTACCGTTCGTCCTTAGTTATTTGATATAAAATACCAGTAAAATCTCACTTGCTTGTTTCCGTCTATATACAAAAGTAACGAAACTTCACTTCTCTACTTAGTTGACTAATATACAAACAAGGTTATCATATTTAACCCACGTGAACTTTGTGTGTGTGTATATATATATATATAACCCTCACATTCCTTCTAATTTAGTTCTGTATATGACCAATAATACTCCCTCCCCCTTACTTGTATGATGTTTGTAATGTCCTTTACTCAAAAAATTAAATTATATTAACATAGTTACCTGAAGAACAGATAACATTTATGTCCGTAATTTGTTGTTCCGTATTGTTCTGTAAATATATCTACACAGTATTTTTATGTTATTATTGTCAAAAATTCTTCATTTTGACATTTCTGGAGAAACGTGTTCAGATATCTACATTACATTAATGCGGTTAACTTGAGATATATATATACATAGGAAGGGGGGATAGCGGGCTTTAGTCCCCCTCCCCCTAAGATTTTCAAAAGAATAGACATTTTTTTAAACTTTATTTTCTAGCTTTAAGCTTTTTCCTCGGATTACAAAGATACCACCATCTTCCCCCTTGAAAGTTTTTCTTGGCTACTGCACTGACTTGTGTTGAGTAAAGGAAATTACAAACACCAAACACATCAACTGCCATTCGCTACTCTAAGGGACCTGGGGTTATTCTTTAGTTTGCCCTAGTCCAGGGTTGCTGATGAGAGATGAAATTCTCTGAAACCGGTCTTCGTAGTTGACATATGGCAGGAATGAGATTAGATTATACCTCAGGTTCCCTTTTCCCCAGAGTGCACAGTTTGGGTGAGATAAAAAAAAATCAAAATACTTTAAAGTTAATCTATGTACGAAATAAAAAAGATCTATTGCACCTGTTTACCTAATCTATATGTATATATATAACCTACCTTATTCTCTGTTTTCCAAAAGTGCTTCAGAAATACGTCTCTAAAGTGAACAGCATAATAACAATAAGGTAAGAATAGTTCAGTAACCTTAATATACTGTTAATGGTAGTTAAGTAATCTCAGTTTAGTAAACTGTTGTTGAGGCTAATCCTTGCCTATAACTCTTAATCTAACGACCCTAAAACTACTTAAGAAAAATGTACCCGGGGCAATATCTTGACGCTAGAAGTAGCTTTGAATGTTTTTACCGTACGGACATTCAAAATACTTGACGGCTAAATTACGATATTTTGTTGCTGTACTAAAACTGTACACGAGTACGTCTTCGATGACCTTTTATTACCCTAAAACGAGTACAGCTGGGTTTTGGTCACACTATTCTAACTCGGATGATTTTGCTGCATTCTAAATAAACGTATTACACATATTTAAATACGTAAGCCAAAACACGAAAAGCCATGCGCGATGCGGTGGAGCGAGGCTGTCCGGTAGCAGCAACCGCACATCTTTCTCCCTGAAAAAATATTTCAGTAACTGAAATTTCATAGAGCTAAATATCTAATTATATTTTAATACTTTATTTTAATCTTCTTCGTTAGTCAGTTATTGAAAATCCCATGTAGTCAAGTGTCGAAAGTGATCAAAAACGAAAAAAAAACGTGAAATTGAATAAAAAAATCATTAAGGTCAGTCGTAAGCAATAACCTGACCAGGATAAATAACAAAAAAACATTCAGCTACAATGGCCTTAGATTAATTTAGAGCTTTTATTTTTATGTTCAAACCGATTCCATTATAAAATAAATAAATATACTTGTACAGCTGGCTGGAGAAATTCAGGGGCTCTTGGTTCACACATCATTTTATCATAAAAATAACTTTTCTTTCTAAACATGACGATTTGTAGAAGCAATTCGAGTAATTAATATTATCTTGGGATAAGAGAAAGCTACCTATTTAAATCAAAACTAAAAATCAACCCAGTAATGAGTATACCTAATTGAGTATAATTTTCTTACGTTATTATTTATAAATATTATATATAATGCATTGTTTTCCCAGTTGGATATCCTCGCTGTTAACGTTATTTTAAGCCGCAAACCCACGAAGTTCGGCCATTTTAAGAGATGTAGGCTAGTACACTAAGATTAAGCTTACCTCTATGTTTCCATTGCTTCCAGAGCACTAATTTTCGCCCCCTAAGTGAAACGGTATGGTTAACTGTTGAGGGCAGAGTTGAAAGATCGTATCAGTCCAAAAATACTATCGCTCAGGAATTTTTATGAAACAGTTTAATGTTTTATTATATTTGTTTTGTGTTAGAAATCTAAAAGTACTAACAAATTCCTGATTTTATGGGGCAATAAATGTATTTCAGAAATAATTCGTTCAGTATTTCTTTATTATAACATTACAAAATAAAACTTTTTTTTTCTTCTTCTCACAAGCAGGAACAAGACCGGGAAACCCGGTCTTCAGTTGACAATGGTTAATGACTAATGATCCTAAACTCTTTGGTGGTGGAAGGCATACAAGTGAAAAAGAGGCCAGGACAAACGAAGTTTTTCTCGTCTGCCTTGGACTCACTTGTTGGATCAGTGCCGCCCACTTAACCCTAAAATTTTACGGGGGAGAAGGTAGAACTCATTTCGAATTTCTAGATTTTGCCCTGCCTGCGGATATCAAGGTAGTGACTACAAGCTAGTTAAACAGTCTTTTATTATAATTATTAAATACATAAGAAACGTTAAGTCTTTGCCTACAGCTATTTAGATAATGACCTTTATTTAATTCAGTAACATTCACTTAAAGTAATTACTCGAATAGTAGTCAAATAATTTTTATCTATAGCTATTAATGATCAGAATAGTATAGCTAAACATTTTTACGTACTTATATTAATGTAATGACCCTAAGGGAAGTTAAGTAATCCTAACCAATAAATAACATAGTGGCCTTAAACATTCTACATATTTTACCTACATATATAAAACGACCTACACACTTTAGCCTAAAAACACAATTATTTTGTTTTAGGTGAACAGTTTCCTTCCAGTTTTTCTCGAATATTGAAACATTCATGTCCGACTTGTGTGGTAATTTAAACTGTTGTCTTTACCAATCAGTTGTATTCCAGCGTTTAATGAAAGAATCCGATTCCACGGGAATCAAAGAACTTACTTGGAGTTCTGAGGAACACACCAGCCATATTCTGATCCTTTCTGAAGTATACCTCTTCTGACCTATGACTTGACTTTGGTGTCAGATTTCGGTATACGTGTGAGAAAGGGAAGATATTAAACCAAGCAAGAAAGAGCATTTCTGTTTAAAAGCGAAGATTTCGTTCGTTCATTGTTAAAGTTCCTATTTTAGACCACAATGCACTTAAAGGCTTAAGATGGGATTTTCAGTGTTTGTACAACATCTTGTAACTTGTTCCGTTTTTCAAGATACAAACTTGTACCCTAACCTCCAAACCAACTATACATATCAGATTTGTAGTTTTTCTCTTAGTTAAATAACATGAAGCCAAGACTCGAGGTTTGTACTTAAAAGTGATTTGGAAAATCAAAATAACAAATTAATGTGTGATTAAAGTAAAATTTTCTTCTGAAGCAACATGCTGCCTAAAAGGTACGCAAATGAAGTGGGTTAAGACCTAAACTTTAAAAACTATAGCATAATCGTTACGTGTGTATTTGTGTAGCCAGCGTTCGTAAGATTAGTGACTTGTCTTTTCATAACGAAATATTTTTGTTTCTGTTCTAAGTTATGACAGGTAATTACTTGTTATCAAAAGAATATATGTTAGTATTAAATAGTGGAAAATGTTCTCGCATTTTGTTTTATCGATTTTTTGTTAAATGACAGGAGAAAGTCAATGTTGTAGTTGTTGAAAAGTTGAGTCAATGATGCAAGACAGTGTCAACTTTTGGTTAACGATTTTAGGATTTAAAAAAAGCTGAATTAAGATATGAACAGTAATAGAAAAATAGAGAGAATTCTTGTTTGTGATAAAAAATAATACCAAATGATTTATTATGGTGTGTGCATCAGTAATGATTTAAGCAAGAAAATAGTAAATGACTTATGATAGTGTGTCCTTTGGTAACGATTTTAAACAAAATATTCAGTAAATGATTTATTATGGTGTAGTTTGTCGTTTAAGATTTTAGCGAGAAAACATTAACGATTTATCAATGTATGTGTGTTCATCGGTAATTATAATTATCTTAAACAAAAACATTATTTAATAATTCATTTATTATAATGTGTGTTTGTGATTTAAAGAAGAGAAATGTCAAGTAAAAGATGAAAAATGGATATCGATATCTTTAATGGCCCTTAGTAATGATATATTAAATAAATGACGGGTATAAGTTAATGTTACTAAAACTATGTAAATGTCAAGAATAGTGTGAAGATGTACGATCATAACAAAACCAAAACCAGAGCAAATGATACAAGTATTAGTTATCATTTTCAATAGAAAAATGGAATAAAGTGTGGAGAATGGTAATATTGCTATATAGTAACAATAACGATCAAAGAGAAGTTAAAATTATGGATAGTAAGGTTAAAATAAGTTCCGATCTACTCAGAAGGTCGTATTTATTAAAGTATGAACTGTCGAAGATGAGTTAAAATTATGGTTAATAGTTTTAATATCGTTAAAGACGCTAAATTTGATTTGAAATATTCGGCATGTTATGTACTTCTGAAACATAGATAAAATTGTTGGTAACTTGAAAAGTTAAGAAATTACAGTAAAAGAGACGATGTAAACATTAGGCTGTAATGCTGATAATTTCAACGAATGGATATTTAGCTACTGTAGAGACTGAGTATTGATTATGTTGGAGGCTGTTCACAAAGTACTATTAAATAGAAACTTAGGCTGAATTACTTGTGAGTAACTGTTGTATGTTTCTGAGTGTGAACTATTGTTTCCCTGTGTTTGCGGCATTGTTGGAGGTATTTCAGTTACGGATCTGTTTTATAACGGCACGAGCCTTTGAAGCCGTTTTACGAAATGACTTTATAATAGGATTTGCTGAACATTCCGTACAACTCAGAATATGTTAATTTTGTTTCTTATTTTGTAATTACTGAATAAAAAA